CGATTTATTATTTACTACTGGTATGTGCGGTCATTAGTAGGGGTGCACCGATGCATCGGCCGATGCCAATTGTTTAAAAAAGTCAATTTTTTTTATTTTTTTGTTTCTATGTTGTATAAAAAAATATAATAATTATATTTTTTTATAAAATATAGAAACACAAAATTAAAAAGACTCATTTTTCAAAACAATCGGCATCGGCCGATGGTTACCAAGACCGATGCAACAGTGCACCCTTAGTCATTAGTATTGCGGTGTTAATTAGATTATGAAAGTATAAAAAAAAAACGTGTTATACTTTCATGTTTAGACTTACAAGTTAAAAACTTGTGACTTTTTTGGAAAACAACATTTCTAAAAGAATAAAAACAGTTTTTAATAAAATAATAATAATAAATAGTTGTGTTTGCTATCGCGCTAACCATTTTTACTTTAGAGTATTGGTATTAACTATCTCTATTTAACGCTATTTATTGTGCAAACGTAATGTCTATACATAAACGAACTTTTCTCGTCAGGAATATGTTTGATTATAAAAGCAAGACCAGTATTTTGTATTTATTTTAAAGCTTAAAGATTTTTACACAATTAAAATATGTTTTTCTTTTAATTGTCATCAAAAAGAGATTTCACAAGATCCTCTCCACTATCATTTTCACTGTCGCTAAGGGAAGTAATTGTTCTTTTTTTGTTTACCCGATCTTTATAAATTCCCGTTGGTTTTTGGTTTGGGCGTCTTCCTTTATCACTCCACCACAATTCAATTGCAGGAAGAAAATTGAATTCTTTCAGCAATGGACCATCTTCCAAAATGCGCAAAATATTTGAAACACAAGATTCTGTCAATGAGGTTCGATAATTTGATTTGACACTTTTCATCTTTGAAAACATTCTTTCCAGCTTAGCGTTAGAAATTGGCAAAGTAAACAATAGCTCAGCAACTGTTAAAATAGAGGTCCATGATTTACTTCTAGGTGATACAAATATGCGTCGCCAGGTAATTCGGTATTGCGTTTGAACTGGGGATAAAAACTCTTGAGCATAACTTAGCATTTCTTTCCATTGAGTTAAGATGTCTGGAAAAACAACAGCAGCAGAGCGTAAAGGCTCTTGAAAGTGTTTGCATATATAACTTAAAGCTTCATCGGCAAAATCTAAATTTCGCGTTATGATTCTGCTTTCAGCTATAACCTCCCGAAGCCAGCCGTTGCAATTTAATACTTGGGATGCATACTTTAAAATAAGAGTACTTTCTTTTTCGTTTTCTACACGTTGTATAATGCAGTCCCTGACTACTGTTAAATACTCCACAGTTTTTGTTTTAAAAATTTTAAACTCACGCTCAAAGTCTTTAAGTTCAATGTCATGATAATAATGTTTGCCGTTTTTTTTTTTGATTTGTGAAAAAAAATCTTTAACTCTAGGTAAATTTTCGAGACTTTTTTTCTCAAATAATACCCATCTTCCCTTTGCTTTTGTAAGACAGTTCATTACTTGAACGTGATCAACTTGATCATCCTGAAAAGACATTGAAAGTATTGAGGGAATTTCGAGTAAATCGATAAAAAATGCAAATAGAAGTGGTATTTTTCCTTTTTTCCATTTTAGGAGATACCCTTTCATTTTAGCTTTGTCAGGAGCTAAAATCGATGGGTCTTCAGCTAATTGTTCAAGATGGGTAATGTATAAACCCCATTTGTCAAGGAAAGACTTCATGGCATTAACTTTATAAGAAATCCATCATGTTCCAGATGCTTTTTTAGGCTTGCAACTTTCATCAAGCGTATCCATCCCGTCTTTTAAAACAGTATATAACTCGCGATTTTGAAAATTATTAGATTTTTTAAGAAAAAGAGTGTATGCTTTTAAGTGCGGTTGAGACTTACAATGATCAAGAATATTCGATTTTCTATAGTTTGCTGATCCAACTATGAATGTATTCGTATAATATGGCATAGTTTTTATTGTATCATTAAACTCTGTACAAAACTTGCATTTTAAGTTTTTTACTCTTTCATTTGAATCAATGTCATAAATTAGCCATTCGCTAAGTGAATACTCAGCGAGCTCCGACTTCCAAGTTTCTACTGTCGATACTGATACTTTACGAGGATTTGCCGTGATCTTACTTGTTTCTTCTTTGGCATTTTTTTCATTTATAGACTTAGCTGCAGGCGACTGTTCTAAAAGTGGTTTAAACAAAGAAAATATAGTTTTTTGAATTTTATTTTTCGGTGGCTCAACTGTTGAACACTTTGAACATAAGGCAATTCTCTTAATTTCCTCACTATAAGATAAGTCGCCAGTTTTTCCCGGAGTTGCACAAATATTGCAAACAAAAACAGCGCATTTCATGCATGTATACTTTGTATTTCTTTCACGACAAACTGAGCAAACTGCTTCCATTTTTTTTTAATATTACGCCCTAAGTTGGAATAATGACAACACATTATCATAAATATTTTAAACTTATATATATTATATGTGAATAATTATATTAATAAAATACATAATTATACTCATATAATTATACATTTTATGAATATATTTATTGTTAAATTTATAAAATAAAAACTTCTGTTCACAAAATTGAATAAGATAAGAAATAAGTTTAATTAAAAGTAACAAATAGCTTTACCTTACGAAAATTTCAAATTCAAAATTAAATCACAGTAAACAGAAAACTATTAAAAACGTAACATGTTGTATTAAATTTTATTTTTTACAAAATATTAATATTTACGGGGAAGATATTTTAAAAATGTAAAAGAAAAATGTAAAAAAAGTGTTGATGTTAACCCCCGTTAAAAAAAGCGTTGCTCATTAAATAAAATTTTTGCGGCATAATACTGTTTCCATTTTGTCTGAATTATCTCAAAGAATGACGAACTTCATCACATTGTGCACACTTTCATTTTCTTGGGCATTTTTGGTTAAAAAATAAAATAAAAAAGAAAGTTTATATATAATATACTGAACATTTCAATAACTTTTAAATAACTAAAATAATTTTAAGAAAATTTCACAAAAAATATTAGTCGGACAAAATGACCGATTTATGATGATTTTTACCGGACCAATGTCGGACAATGTCCGATGTCCTGCGGCTATTTCGAGCCCTGTATATATATATATATATATATATATATATATATATATATATATATATATATATATATATATATATATATATATATATATATATATATATATATATATATATATATATATATATATATATTTATATATATATATATATATATATATATATAACTATATATAACTATATATAACTATATATAGTTATATATAGTTATATATAGTTATATATAACTATATATAACTATATATAACTATATATACCCTTGGAGTTGCGACAGCATAATAGTGTGTTAGGAGAAAAAATTTATAAACCCGCGTTAATAACCTGTTTTCTATCGTACATAATGCATTAATAATGCATTAATAAGTTTTATTACGTGTTTTGTTCAATGTTTTCTCCCAACGCATGAACTATGACGCTGTCGCAATTTTTTTTTTTTTATTATTAGAAATAAAATAAGTTTTAATAAGTTTTTGCTGATGTGGTTGCAGGTTTTTCTTAACTTCTATCAAATAAACTTAAGAAACCTGTATTACTTTTGATGAGAGCAAATTAATTTTATTTTGCATTCGTTTGGTTTCTTTATATATATTTGTTTTGAAAATTTTTTTTTTAATTTTTCGAGTATGATTTTTTTAGTTATTAAGTTTTTTTATTTTATTGTTAACTTTAGATTAGTAAAAAAAAAAGAAATAATTAGTGTTGCTTTGATAAATATGTTTAATGAAAATGATAACATTGAAATGGATGATAGGCTAGATGTAGTTTTGTATTTACAAGATGATGTAAGTGCTATAAGGCGTGTTGAAAATAATCGTAGATGAAATCGTAATGAAAGAAATAGACTTAGGCGAGATGAAATTAATTGTTAACAAAATGAAAGAAATAGACTTAAGCGAGATGAAATTAATTGTTTACAAAATGAAAGAAATAGGCTCGATTGAGATAATGTTAATCGTCGCCAAAATGAAAGAAATAGGCTCGATCGAGATAATGTTAATCGTCGCCAAAATGAAAGAAGAGCTGTTGGACAAGGACGAATGTATTCTATAGCGAGAAGTAATGCTATTCCAGACTATAATTATTTAGGAGAAATGAATCAAATTTGTCAGCACTGTGGTGCTAAGAAATTTCCAGATGAAACACATTTTCTATGTTGCCATAATGGTAAGGTAGCTTTGCCTCCACTTTCACCAATTACACAAGCTTTACAGGATTTGTTTACAGGGAGTTATGTAGATTGTAATGCTAATGCTAATTTTTTAAAACATATTCGAAATTGCCTGCCTTTCTTTTTATTTTTAAAATTTTTTAAAACATATTCGCTAATTTTTTAAAACATATTCGAAAATGCCTGCCTTTCTTTTGCTTCTTTTACAGCAAATGTAGTTCAACCAATGAATTATGGGCTTCCATGTTTTAAAATATGTGGCCAGATTTTTCATCGTGTAGGTAATCTTAGGCCAGATCAAGATATTCCACCAATATATTCTCAACTATATATTTATGATCCACTTGCTGCACTAAATTTTAGAATGCAACACTATGCTAGTGATCTTTGTTTACGTGATTTAATGTTTCAATTGCAAACTATAATTATGGAACAAAGTCCATTTGCTCTTGCATTTAAAAACATGGCTGAAGTAGAAGATGAAGAAATTCGTAAGGCGGCTATAGAAGGTCGCTCAGCTTCTGTTGTAAAAATGTCTTTACTTGAAGGCGGTGATAGACGTCGTTATAATCTACCTTCACATGATGAAGTTGCAGTTGTAATAATAAAATATTATATATAAATAATAAATAAAAATTAGAAGGCTATTTGGCCCCGTCAGAATATGCGACAAGTTTGTATTAAACATTTACACAAAAATGGAATTAAGACAAGTTAGCTCCTAAAATTGTCTATATGTACAGATATGTTTATTGCACTTATTAGTAAATAAATTGATTAGTTGCGTAATGAGTTTAAATTTTAGCCATTTTTTAAAGTTGATAATCATAACGTACTTAATTAAACATGCGTGATGTAATTTGCATAGCTAAATTAAATGCTCTTTTACTTTAGTTACTGCGCTAAGTGTTGCGCAGTTTGGTTTGTGCGCAGTTTTTCTTCTGCTCTGGAATTTTGAGATTGGAATTTCCAGACTTATTTTAAAAAGCGCGTTTTCGTTATAAATTTTTTTTACATCTAATCGTACCTATCAAGTAGGTCATATTCAGTATAATCAATTCAATCGTTTTCATTTTTTATGTTTTAACATGTCTATTACCTTTATTAAATTTGTTTTTAAGCATATTTGTTTTTATTTTTTATATCGAATTAATAGAATGAATCAGATTGAAGATGAAGGTTTGTATTTATTTAGATGTGTATTATGTTACAGATGTATAATGTTATGTTGTTAGTTCTTAAATATATTTTTATTTTTAGTTGCTGAATTACTAAGAAGTAAGTTTTCTTTCATTTTGTTATTAACAAATGTTATAAATTGCATTTATATGTTTGTTAATTTAAATTAACTTTACAATATTAAAATGGTTTAAACAAACTTAAACGAACTTTTGTAAATGAATTTAATCCTCAAAGATTAAATTTTTTTTATTATTGAAGAAATTAAACTAGATTTAAGAGTCGACTTAAATGTTTGTTTGTTTTTCTATTTAGATGATGACAATATTGAAGCAAGTAAGTTAAAAAGCATTTTTAAATTTTTAAAAAGAAACACAAATATATTTTTCAATATATATCTGTTTTCTTCAAGGTAGATTTAAAGTTTCAGGTTTTTAAAATCATATACATTATAAGATTTAAAAATGAGTCGACTTAAATGTTTGTTTGTTTTTTTATTTAGACGTTGGTGATAATATTGGAACAAGTAAGTTATAAAGCATTTTTTAAATTTTTAAAAAGAAATAAAAATACTTTTTAATATGTATCTGTTTTCTTCGAGGTAGATTTAAAATTTCAGGTTTTTAAAATCATATATATTATAATATTAAATTCTTTTTTACTTTAAAAATATCCATATTATAGTTACACTGAGTCGTAGAAAAAAAATTAAAGTTTATTAATAAGGTAGTAGATTATTAGAGTAGATTAAATTGTTTGATCTATTAATCAACTTAATAACGTACTATTAAAGTGAAGATTTATTTTGGTTGTTTGTTAAAATTTAGTTAGAGTTTATTTAAAATTTTAATTCTTTAGTTAATCAAGAGAGATCTAATAAAGGTATTAATTACATTAGTTGAATGTAGCATTTAATATGTATTTTATCGATATTTTAACGTCTAAACATTAAAGTGCTTTTATTGTTTAGATACAGAAGTAAAGAAGGAAATAAGTCAGTGTTTTTGCTATTAGATATTCGTTTTTTTTTTTTTTTTAATTTTGTAATTTTTTGTTTGGTGTTTTTTTAATTATAGTTTTGTAATTTTTTTTTTAAATATATATTACGTTGTATATTTGTTTTGTTTTAATCTTTTTTTATAATATTTTTAATTGTTTTCTCACCAATTAAACCTGACTTCAAATTTAAAGCCCTCTTAAATACCCCTCCCTAAATTCTAAAGTCGAAAGTTGAATTGATTCATTATCCAATTATCATAATATAATGATGCTGCATTCTTTTGTTAAAAACAATTATTTGGTACTGCTTTTAAAATTTACGAAAACCCAAGGCAATATAATTAGCTATATAAATACAATTTATTTATCTCGATTCCATTCTTAATCTTTTATGTTTATAGTTTGGCTCCTTAAAGCATTTTATGTTTTGCTCTTTTTATTATGAATATTTTAAATCCGTTGTGATGTCTTTTAAATTAAACTAAAGTTTACTAAAAGCCAACATAAAAATTACGTTTTTGAACAACACCAAAAAGAACAGCTGCATCCCTACAGCAACTGCTGCAGTATCACAATAGGTTACCAAAAGCAGGTATACTGTTTTCCAGTTGTTTTTTTTTTTTTTTTTCATATATATCTACTTATTTATATAATACTATAGTACGATTGTTTATATCTCATTCATTTTTTTTTTTTTTTTGTTTATCTTTAAGTGTTAATAATTTTATTCTTTGAATGATATTAGTTAAACAAGTCGGCTTTTCATTAAAGATATTGGTTTCAAAATTGAACATCATTGGCAAAATGCTTACAAAATTAGGTAGTTTTTAAAAATCTGTTTTCTATTTAATACACTTTTTTTTTAATATACTTTTTTAGTATACTTTTCTATAACAATTCTACTAATATGGAATCACGTAGCTTTTTAAATATGTTTAATTGTCGTCCCTATCGGTAATAAATATTTTAAATTATTTGATATGGTTTTCTTTACAATAGGCTATGCTTGGCTCCTCGGTGCTGTAAATGGTGGCTTCAACTTTGTTTTTTTTAAGAAAAATGTGTTTTATATATGCTTCTGTTTTAAAATATTTTTGTTACATATTTAACTATATATCATGTAAATAAATTTCTTTTAAAGATAAGTTAACTTAATACTTGCTTTTTTACGGATTTTCAAAAAGTGAACAAAGGTTTAAATATATTTTTTAACTGTCTTTTATGATTTTATCAATTTTATTAAATATTACTTCAAATATAAAATTTACTATATATAAATAAATATAAAAATTACTTAAAAAATATTGAGTAAAATCTAATTGCTTTTATTATTAACCTGATATATACAAAAATTAATGAAATAAAACTAATAATCTAACGCCAAGTTAAGGCAAAATGAAATAAATATGTTGATACACGTTAGCTATTATAGTAAATCCATATATTCCTTTGTTTTTTTATAAACAAGTTACTGCTGGATTACTTATTAAAAAAAAGGTTGGTTTAAATAATAATCTTTATCATAATATATAGGATCCGTATGCAGGGTAAGCCCTTTTCGGAATTGCGATATATTTTTCAACTTATAGTTTTTCCGGATATCCAACTTCTATGCCTGCAAGTTTGGGTGTAATATTTTAGATGTTTTAAAAAATATATTAATAACATTTAAAAGGTTTAGGTGCGATAGTGACATATTTTGAAGCTCTTCACTCAGTAAAATGAAAAGTTTAAAAAATAAAGAAACGACTCAGCTTAAAGCAAAATTAAGAGTATTCTTAATATTTACCTAAACAATTTTACGGAATTCGAAAATTTGACATCGATTTTCTGTGCATATAAGTTAAGTCATTTTGTGGTTAACTTTATCTTTAATGAAGCTAAGAGTTCTCTTAGAGTAAGAAGTCAAGAAAAATAAAAGTGAGCTCAACTAAAAAAAATGTATAAATAAATTTATATTTCATTAAAGAAAGTAAATAAATATTAAATTGACAGTAATAATTTATTTACTACTAACCCGTATTACGGGTTGCTTACTGTGTAAACAAATTAATATTTTATTAGAGAAAGTAAATAAATATCAAATTGTTAATAATGATTTATATACTACTAACCCGTATTACGGGTTGCTTACAGCTAGTCATTATGATATTGTTATATAGAGGCAAATACTACTAGGGAAGTGGCTACAGATCTTCTAGGTAAACATTTTTTTACTACATATTGTTTTTTGTTTTTTTGCTTGGCATTAATATAAAAAGATGTATTGTCAATGGTATTTTTAATTATTCTATGACTTGGTTTTTATTATTGAATGAGTTTTTAGAATTTGTACATTTATATAGTTAGATAACTAATGTAACACAAACCTATTCATTTTACATCTACCCTATAGATGGTACTGCTACTGAATAGGTTTATACTGACAAAGAAGAGAATTTTTAAAAAAAGATGGCACCACAAAAAGCTGTCAATAACATCAAAAACTTAATTCTATCAACAACAAAGAATGGTTTGCAAGACAACTGTCCATTATTGGCTGCATATAAGAGTTCAATAAACATCTCACTGAGCAAGGTATTGAGCAAGCCTTTCCAGAAAGTGTGTGCAGTCACACGTCATATTTAAAGTAATGTTTTTAGACAATGTTAATTTTTTTAGACAACTTGACTACATTTTTTCATATAGTAAGCATTTGAAGATTTGGTGGCAAAAAAAAAGCTAAAAGAAACTACAGAGAATAAAACAGCAATACTCAAAGAAAGGAAACAAATACTATACAAAATAGAAAATCTGCATAAAAAAAAAATAAAATAATAAAAAATAAAAAAAATAAAAATTTTGTCCAAAAAAATAATACATCTAAATATTTTATTGATTTGTTTCCTTTTCTCTTTTTTAAGGCATATGTTATTTTACACGACCAAAACTGATACAAGTCGTAAAAAAAAGCAGATAAAAATATAACAAAATTAAAAACATTTTTTTATTATACAATTTATTTGAGACTTGATTACCAGTCAGTATATTAGGAAAAACATTTTATTTGCCCTAAAAACATGGACAATTTTAAAATTGGTTTTTTAAATGTTTTTGCTAAACTTTACTGTTTTTATCAATGCATAGGAAAGTGAAAAAAACTAATTGCTATTTTTTTTTTTTTTTATTATAAAAAAATAAAAAGCCATTAATACTAATATTCAAATACAAAATATTTGATTGTTTTCACTACCACCATTGAAATAGTTTGCACAATTTTATTGGATTCTCCAAATTGTGCATATAAACCCAATAGTTTACTTCCTGATGAACTATTGTTATTGACAATGTTCCAAAAGTTTGTGGGTTAGTTAAAAAAGCTTAGTAAATTAACTAATGCACTAGCATTGTTAATTTACTGAATTTCTTTAACAAAATTTTTACGAGCCAATTTAAAACTTCTTTTTTAATTTTTGAATTCATTTTTTTCAAACAAAGCAATCATTATGTTTATTATCTCTAGTAATTCATATTAACATTAGAAATTGGGCAGTTTAAAGGAAAAAATTTCAGACAATCCACACGCGCACAGTCATTTGTCATGGTTTTAACTTTTGGCGTGATAAACAGAGTAATTTTTTTTGTCTCTTCCTGATACTACTAGAGCCAACAGCTCCATCGATACTACAATAACTCACAAATTAAACTCTTTACCTCATCCCAGACAATAAAGTGAGAAATATTTATGAATTTTTTTGGAAATAGGTAGAATTAGGCATCAGCAAAAAATATTATAGCAAATGCTAAAAGAGTTGGTATAAGTAAAGACGATCTTATGCAACAGGATATATTTCAACAAGCAGCTTTCCTTATGAATGAAACTAATGACCAAACTACTAATATTTTCTACAAGTAATCTATGCTATGTACATAATTCTACCATCAAAAAATTTAATTCCAACAAAGTAAAATTTGCTTTGATGAACAATATATAAATAACAGCCTCACTAAAATTTAAAATAAATCAGGTTAAGCTGAAGTAATACATAGAAATATATTTTTTATATAGAAAAACTTTTTTCAAGAGGAATGGCCTTATTGAACACTGCATCTACGAAGTGATAAAATCGATCATTATGTCAAAACTAAATAACTAAATTTTTAAGAGCAAAAACTATTTAACTAACTTGTTTTTAAAAACTTTATTTTAAAGTTTTTTAAAGTAATGTTTTATCGCCGGATGTCGCTGTATTTCTAATAACTAAATATA